ATAGTTTGCCATCTCCAGAAATCTTCACCTATGTTAAAAAATATTTTTAAAATAACGTTTAAAAAATGTAAAAAGATGTAGTAACATAAATTGTCATACACATGCGTTCTACATTATATTTAGTTGTCCATCCCAATTCTTTTTCTGCTAAATCTGTATTGGCATACATAGATACTATATCACCATCTCTTCTATCCTTAATAACATATGGTACTGTTGTTCCTGTGACATTCTCAAAAATTTTAATTAATTCAAGTACAGATACACCTTTACCAGTACCTAAATTATATATTTTTAGCCTCAAATGTTGTTTATGTAAAGCATTTAAAGCTGCTACATGACCAGCAGCTAAATCCATAACATGAATATAATCACGTATACCTATATAAAAATAAACACATTTTAATAATATATTTAAATAATAAATGCTTTATATTATATTATATTATATTATATAGAAATATATTGTATAGGAAAAAAAAAGGTATATACCTGTACCATCTTTTGTAGGATAATCACCACCAAAAATAATAAGTTCAGGTTTATGTCTTAAAGCTACTTGTGCTATGTAAGGCATTAAATTTGTAAATGGTTTTGTAGGATCTTCTCCAATTAAACCACTTTGATGAGCACCTACTGGATTAAAATATCTTAGGGAAATAATATTCCAATTCTGTTAAATAAAAATAAAAAAATCATATTTATATATATTTAATTGAAAGCTTTTTTTTTATTAATAAATTATTAAATATGTAAACTGATTTTTTTTTATTTTTTCGAATTATTTTTATAATTATACGTATATTTATATAATTATAAAAAATATTTTTTTTTCAATTAAAAAGTACCTTTTCAGCTCTCGATATATCTTTAAGCATTTCTTCAATAAAATATTTTGTTCGGCCATATACATTTGTGATATTTCCCGTTGGATGTTCTTCTGTAATTGGAAGTTGATTTGGTTCTCCATATACAGTACAAGAACTACTAAATACTAATTGGAAACATCCAGCAGCTTTCATTACCTTATAAAAAAATTAATTATTTTTCTTATAATATGGAAATATGTATATAAAGACTTACTCAATTACATTTTACCTCTAACAAATTGATGGCACCGATAATATTATTTCGATAATAGTGAAGCGGAATTTGCATTGATTCACCAACCGCCTTTATAGCAGCAAAATGAATTACACAATCTATTTTGTGCTAAAATATAATAAAATATAATTTAAGAAATATTATAAAATAATTTTAAATAATTTTTATTTTATTCATATTTTGTACCTTATTAAAAACTATTTCAAGTTTATCTCGATCAATGAGATCGCAATTATAAAAAGTAACTTTTTTTCCTGTAATCTGTTCCACTCTTTTAAGAGCTGCAGATTCACCACTTTCAGTTACACTATTAGCAAAATTATCTATTGCAATAACATCATATCCACTTTCTAAAAGTTCAATGATACAATGACTACCAATGTAACCCGCTCCTCCAGTTACAAAAATAGTTCTCCAATCTTTGGTCATATTGCTATTAAAAAAATAAAAATATTATAATGCATATAGTTTTATGTACTATTTATAATAATTTTTTGAAATCTTTATCGCTCTAAAACTTTTAATTTGATCTTATTAAAGGTTTTTTGCTTGAATCGAGTTATTATATGTAGGGGTGGAAATCTCTATTTTTATTAATCATATTGTATATGATTTTTTTTTATTATTATCATTATTAGTATCATATTTAATTTATTTTTATAAATAAATTATATTATTTCTTCATTTGTATTTATCCTTTTTTTATATTTTACAAATTAATCGAAACAAAATATATTTACAAAAACGAAAATAATATATATGTCATAGTATGTACAAGCTAAAGTATAAAAATGTTTCGGACATTCACCTGTATAAAACTGAGTTCAAGGTCGTTAAAACACGTGGTAAATTATACTTTATTAATTAACATAAAATTATAAGCTTTATATTAAATATAATTAATATAAAATTAAAATAATTATTTGATCTAATCTAGTTTGTTTTTTAACGAATTAAAAATAATGTCTTAAATAATAAGCAATTAAAAAAAAATCATTCTAAAAAAAAACATTAATTTTGTGAATTATTGAAAAAATAATATAGGAAATAAAAATAAGTAAGTATATAAATTATTTGCGATTGATGAATTTAAGGATATTAAAATCGAACATTTTTAGCATATTAGCATATAATTTTTATATTATTTTATTTTGAACAATTAACATATTAAAATATATATGAAAAACTTTTGATTTTTTATTATTTTTTATATACATAAACATAATAAAATATAAAAATAAAAAATATTTATAATTTTTAATTTTTTTATTTATAATTTAATAATGTCATCGAATGTATGATAAATATGAAAAAATTTCTTTATTTTTTTATAAATACTTTATGGCAATTAATGTATAAAATTAAAATTTACATTTAGAAAAACATTTTTTAAATAAGTTATTATTTTCAAAAACATTGTAAAATATCATTTTAAAATATATTTTATTAGATTAAAAAAAACATAAATACAATTAATGTATAATTATATTTGTGAAAGAATATTACCTTAATAAAATAAAATTATGACGTCAAACGAATTTAGAAAGATTCGAGGACGCGTTCGCGTAATCACTGACTCTACCTCGATTACTTGCGTCGTCTTCTGATATAGGAAAGTAGAGTTTAGTATATTCGTGGAACGCGAAATATCCCCTCTTTTAAAATACAATCATACAACTCATTGTAGAAATACATATACTATACACATCGACCCTCTGCTTTCTAGTGCACAAGTTCTTCCTTTCACACTATTGGGATATTGTCTATCTATTTTTCTATCTTCTTTACAAGAATAGGAAAAAATGATAACTTAAATAGGGACTAGAATTATATATTATGTTATATTATGTTATATATTATATCAAGTGGTTTCTATTGAATTAATTAATAATTACTTATTAATATAGAATATAATTAAATAATAGAAGTGTAAAAAAAATAATAAATAAATAAAAATTTTTTAAAAATATTATTTAAATGAAACTAAATATAAAATTAAAAAATGCTATTTATAATTTATAATTAATTTTTAATAATTATAATTTAATCTTAATGTCAAATTATTATGAAATGTAATTATAACAAAAAATACATTTATTGTATTGTTAAAACTTGAATTAACTTATGTAATAATTCCTTTTGTTCAATATTTAAATAAGGCCATAATTCACTTTCTAGTTCTAGTAATGCTTGATAATCATGTGATTGGCATGATAACACTAATGATTGTAATAATAGTAATTCATCTTCATTCATATTAAAATCTGAAATTTATTTTTTACAATTTTATAATTCTTTTTATTATTATTTAAATTACTAAAAAAGAAAAATATAACACTTACCATTATCTGAAGTTTCTTCTACCCATGCATATTTTTCCAAAATCTGTGCTAAAGAAGGTGCCAGTCTTTGTGGTGATGGTTGAAGTATAAGTAATAATAGTACTCTAGTTATTTCACATCTATATTAATGTAATTAATTAATTTTTTATGTATCAATAAAATTTTATATTTCTAATTATATTTAATACCTGTGTAATATAATATTATAGTTGCCTTTTGCACCAGCATTAATATAACTTTCAACAAATTCAACAAAATCATTTAAAATTTGTAAAGCAGATACATAATCACCTGAAATATTATGTATTATGTAAATCAATCAATCAATAATAATTATTTAATTATAAATAAATATTACCTTGTTTAATATGATATGATGCTAATGTATTAATAGCTTTTATAGTTGGAAAAATGTCAATCGCTTTACATAATTGTTGTATACCAGCTGGAGTAGAACCCAAAGCTAATGCTAATTCTAATGCTAAACCAGCTGACATAGTATTAAATCCTGGTTGATTATAACAATGTGTTAAAGCTTGACCAAAACAATTTACTGCAGCCTAATATAGAAATTTATAAAATTGTAAAAATTATATAATATAAAAGTTATACATAATCATATTTTATACAGTAATATAAAAGATTATAAGTTGCAAAAATAATAAACCTGTATATTTTCTTGTCCTATAGAAGAACATCCTATATTTTTATCTTTTTTATCAGCCATAAGAAATTCTCGACCAGCTTTTATTAAAAAGTTTAATTGAGAAAAGGTATTTTCTAATGTTTCTTGACATCTAGCTGCAGCTAATAAACATAAACCTGCATATTGCCATAATTCTTTTTGTTCACATTCAATTGCCAATAATCCTAAAAAATAACATTATAATTTTTATAATATTAATAATATTATATCTTTTTTATCTTTTTAAGAATATATATCATATCATGACATACCAAATTGATCACTTGCTTCAGCAACATTTGGTTTTCTTAAAAATCGTCTAAAATTAAATAAAATAAATTATATTATATATATTAATAATATATTAATAATATATTAATAATAATTTTATTATAAAAAAGTGGATTATTCTATAAAAAAAAATAATTTGTAATAAAATACTCACTTCTTTAGTTTGTTTGATATATTATGATACTTAGTTAAAAAGTCTAATGAATCTCCCATCTTTTTAATTTGAATATGTCGTTCTTTTAATTAATTTTTTTAGTATCGCATTTTTTTTTTTTATAAAGATTTTTATAATTGGTTATATCATTATTGCTTCTAGATATTGTCTTTTTAATATATTATAGTAAATATAAAATGCTATATTAAGCAATTAAATTAATTTTATTTTATTCATTTTACTTAATATTATTTTTTCGTGTTCCAAATTTAATAATAATAGGCATTCAAATTATGTAAATTATAAAATATATTAATTTTGTTACTTTAACTATTTTCTTAATTTTTCTATATTTATATATTTTTTTATCTAAATTGATTAATGTATTATATACTGAGCATCTCTTGACTTTTGATATCAGTAGTACCAATGTCTGGATACGAGATAGGTGTAAGTGCATTGAGTCTATAAATTTTTAAATATATTAATGTTATTTAATTAGTTTCTTTTTATACAAATTAATGATTTATATTATGACAATATTTATATTAAAAAAATTTACAGTTTAAATTAAATTTCGTGTATTACTAATATAATTAAATAATAACTATCTACATTTTTCGTGATAATATAAAAGACAATAAGATTAATATATCATATAATTATAATTATTAATTTATAAAAATATAAATATTAATTGGTATGTATAAGCTACAATTACATTTAAAATATATATTATTAAATAATTATTTAATATTTCAGGGATAATTGATTATCTGTTTCTAAAATTGTGATATTGTAACGTAAACAAACGTATACAATATATAACTATATACGAATATATATAAGAAGTTTAAAGAATATCTTCAAGAATGTGCAAAATTATATTTTCAAGTAATAAAGTGTGTCGTGTAACAATATTATAATTGAAGTCTTTGTATTTGTAAAATTGATTAACTCATATTTTCTCTTAAAAAACGTTAACAAGACTAAAAATTTTTTTAAAGGATGCATAAAATTATTGAACTAATTTTGAACACTGGTTTATTGTTGATATTTTTACAACTTATTTGGAGCATTTTCATAACTGTCATTTATAATTTTTCAATACCATGGATTTTTTGGTTTTCTCTCATTGTTACATTTGGACTAAAAATAGCCAGGATTCCACCACCAAAGGATAGCATTGTGCAAGAAGTGCTTGGTGTAGATCCTCTTTTACTGAAAAATAATACCATGGGCAAAGATCATGGTAATGGAGAACAATATTGCATGCGAGTGGTGGCTCATCGTGGTGGAGGATATGATTTTCCTGAGAACAGCTTAACAGCTTTTCGCAATGTAAAATCTTATATATTATAATGGTTTTTTTTTAATTAGCAATTATTCCAGAAATAATAACAAATCAATTTGTTTTTTTTATTAACTAAATTGGAATTCTAGATATTTTATAACAAAAAAAATTATATATTATTTTATGACGTAAATATGAATACTAATAGTATTACTAACAAAAAATTTTTAAAAAGAATATATTTTTGTTATTTAATTTAAATTATAAATAAAATAAAATCTATTATAAAATATTTTATAGTGCAAAGATAAAGGATGTACTGCAATTGAATTTGATGTATGGCTTACAAAAGATAATGTACCTATAATATTTCATGATTCAACAGTTGATAGAGTTACTGGAAAACAAGGAATTATTAAGAAAATGACATATGATGAATTAAAAGATTTAGATATTTCTTATAATCATCCACTTAAGTAAATAGATCATTATAGATATATTTTTTATAACAAAATATTATAAAATAATATTTTTGTTCAATCTTTTTACATGTTTTTTAGAGACAAATTTGATAAAAATTTCATAGAAAAAATTCCATTGCTTCATGAGGGTATAGAAATGTGTTTATTAAATGAACAAAGAATAATTTTTGATCTAAAAGCATTTGATCTAAACATGGAAATTGTGCATATAATTGTAGAAATGTATAACAAATATCCTAAATTATTTCAAAGAGCAATTGTATCCAGTTTTAATCCTTTGGTTGTATATATGGTAAAATAAAGATAATTATGATTATAATTTGATAAGATTAATATTTAATATATTAAATTTTATTATTATATTTTATGTTAATATAGATTAGAAGAAAAGAACCTCGAATTGTAGGAGGTCTTGCATGGAGACCTTATTATTATTCAAGAGTATCTTATTCAGGTGTAGAAGGTCCAGGTCCAGCAAGATATCATAACAATTTATTTCAACATCTGATATATTGTTTAATAGATTTTGTTTATGAATGGATGTTTTCCCGTTTTATGTATTATATTGTGGGTGTGTCTACTGTGTTGTTGCATAAAGATATAATAAATCAGTATGTACATATAAAAAAAAATATTTCATATATAATGTTAAATAATTTTATATAATAGTTATTATAAAAAATACTACAACTTTTATATATATTATTTTAGGCGTGTGATACATGATTGGACTAATCGTGATATTCGTGTAATCGCATGGACAGTAAACTTGCCATCAGAGAAATCACATTTCGCACGATTATTTAAACTTACTTATTTAACGGATACATTTGTTGGTTGAAAAATATATAACATAATACTACATATTATATGTTCTATGTGTTTTAAAAATGAACATATTTTATACTATATTTATACTATATAATAAATTATGATCTAGTCCATTCATTGAAATGATGAATCATATTTATCTTTTTAACAAAAATTCAATGCTTACTTTAATTAATAAATAAAAATAAAACAACATATTAATCTATATATATTTAAAATATATTAATCCACTTCCTTTTCTTTCTACTTAAAAGAGAAAAAATGAAGTTTAAACAGTTTATCATAATATTTTAATAGTTAACATTTATATTTTTATAAATATAAAAAATTATTTCAATGTTACTATAATTGAATATTATTTTTTTTATTTATTTTATAAATTACTATATATTATGTATATAGTTTATTAAAATTCAATATTTGAAGATTATATAAGCCTCTTGAGTTTTCAATAATTTTGTTAAGTCTTAAAAATTAAAAAAAATATTTTTTAGAAGTTGGAAGAATTATATTTGTCAAAAATTACATAATAAATGCATTATAGATGCATAATAGATTTACATAAATGATGATTTGATTTTTTTTTTATATTTTTTTATATTTGAAATTTCAATTAAATGACTATATAGAAAAATAAAAATAATCATTCATTATTTTACTAATAATAAAAATAACATTTAAAAATATAAAAATGATCTACTTATAACATGATTAATCGACAATATTCTTAAACTCTTACTATTTTTTCATATTTTATAACTTAAGATTTTTTTATATCATTAAAAATATTGAAAATAATTAAAGTTATATTATCATTTTAAGAATTCAAATTATATGGACGGAAATATTTATTTTGTAAATATTTAAGATAAAATTACAAAATATTATTTATGATTAATAATTATACAATAGTAGTAAGCTTATTTTTGCGAGATTCCATACCTTGAATAAGTCCTGTTAATAAATCTTCCATTTCTGTGGTAGCTCGTTTTAATTTGCAATTGTCATTAGCAACATAAGAATCTAAAGCAACAATTTATGTAAAAAAAATTATATGAAAAAATATTATGTATCATTTAAAATATAATAATTTACCATCTAATAAGCGATCATCTGTAACCATATTTTGTAATCTATCTAGTATATCATTTAGATCACCTTGAATATTTTGTAAGCTACTATGTTGTGAATGTTTATCAGGTCTTTGTAAAGATGATGGTGTATTATCTCTATGAATACTTATGAGAGAATCAGATATAGGTAATGATTCTTTTTCAATATTAGTTATAGCTTTTATTGAATATTTTTCTTCTTTGCAATTCGAATTGTTAGAACTTAACCATTGAGAAAAACCGCTATCAGATGGATTTATATCTGATCTTTTTGTACCTAAAATTTAAAAGTTAAAAAATGTATGAACTTTATTCATTTATATACATAATCCATTAAGTTGATGTTTCAAAAATATATTTTTCAAAATAATAAAAAATCAATATATAACATACCTCCTATCCATGTACTTAATTCTATTTTAGTAGGTTCTAGTATATTATTAAATTTTATATTTGAAGATGCTTCTCTAGAATCAATAATATCATAATTTTGTTCACTAATACAATTTCTAGTTAATGGATTAAAATTATTTGTTTGTATATCTGTATCATTCACATTTGAAGTATGTTCTATATTTTCTTGTCGAATAATTGGACTTAATTCAAAATTTATAGGTAAGGATGTTAATCGTGAAACAGAAGGAACCATTGGTGTACTTTGCATATAGTTAATTACTTGAGGCATACAAATTCTATCGGTAAATAAACATTTCTATAAAAGAAAATAAGAAAACGTTTCATTATTTTATTAAATATCTAAAATGAAAATAAAATATTAATCATAAAATGACAGTATACTTTTAATAATTTTAGACGTTGTAATTGCGATTCAATTGTAACTCTATGACGCTGAAGTCTTTCTGCCTTAGTACCCTGTATATCTAGCAATTCAATTTGTAATTGTCTATTTTCTTCTTCCAAATGACTGATTATACTTTGTAGTTCTTTTTGTGGATCATTTAAAACTCGTCTTTTAATTGTACTTCTTACTGATTCACAATCAGTATATCTTATTTCAGTACTATAAGACAATTTTGAAAAAAAAAAATAGAAATTGTAAAATAAATTCGCATATTATATTATCTTAAACTTATATATGTAACAACCTTATATGAGGAATTTGATCATCAATATTTAATCCAATAGATCTACCAGGACATAATCTCAATTTATTCCTAATTAATTCAATAATTAATTTTGTTACTTCTCGATTTGAAGTCTGCAAAAATATTATAACAAATAGTATTATGTAATATTTATACAAAAAAGAAAAAGAAAAAAATTAAGTACATTAATATACCTTGGTACAAAATTCACGAACAGGATGTTTTAATTTATGCTTTCCTGATATTTTACCATATAAGAAACAATGCTGACATTGATGATATGTTGCACATTTTAGACATGAATATCGTAGTCCATGAATTGGTGTTGTTTTACAAAATGAACATCTAATATTATGTACAACTAGATAAAAAAATATATAATATTTATTACTTTTACTTAAGTTTCTCAAAATATACTATTAAATATTTCAGAATATAAAATATATATACTATGTTCTGCAGACTTCATACGATTAAATGTTGTTATCCAAATCAATAAAGGAGGTTCTTGCATAATCCATGTTGCAAACTCTGATTCAGTAACTCCAAGACATCCTTGAGACTATTAAATATTATAAATATTATAAGTTAGATGTAATTAATATATATTTAAAATATTATTTTATTTTAATAATTTTACCTTTGAAAAACATTTATCAATATGCGATTGAATATTTTGTGGACCATATGCTGCACTTTCTCCAAGCATTTCAGTTATTTTACAAATATTTGTTAATAATGTATGTAAACTAACTTTGGATAAGCATGCATTATGATCAGCTAATTGTTGATAAAGATATCCATACTTTTCTTGTAATCTTCCAGAACTAATTAGTATTAAAGCAACTTTTATAGAAAATACAGAAACTGTTCTAGTACATTGTCTATAATATTTGGAATATTTATAATAATAAAATATTATTTATTATTTCAATTCTAATTTAAATAATAAAATATATATATATATATATAAATATATATATGACATACTTATCAAATGTAGTTAAAATATAATTTAAAGCTAATTTTGATGCAAGATCAATATCAAAATTAGTATTAGTTTCTTTGCATGCTGCAAAATAAATATCAGAAAGAACATCTTCAATTTCACTTGAATCTAAATTAACACAATTTTCTGTAATTGAAAGTCTATGACGTTCAAAAATTCCAGCAATTAATTCTAATTGAACATATTGCACTATAAAAAAATATATATTATTATTAATTGATTTATAAATATGATAAATATAATTTATAAATATAATAAAACAATTAGTAATGATAAAAATTACTAATTAAATATATTAAGTTATAATAAGAATAAAAATATATTAAACTTACTATTAAGTTCCTTATGTAAAATTTGCATTTTTGCAGCTGTTCTATAAGATGTATAACAAATATCATTACATTGTTCAATATATTTTATAATATTTTGCATTTTTAAATATTAAATATTTTAAAACTACCTACATGTGAAAAAAAATTATTATGTATAACGTTATAAAATATTATTTTTTACATAATAAAATATATAATTAATATTTCATAATTTCTTACGTTTTTATAATAATTATAAATAATGACAAAAATCAATTAATTTAATTTTTGTTATTAATTAATTTAAAGAAATTTTAATTGTGTAATATTAAATTCTTTATATTTATAAAAATATAAAATTTTATTTTTATAATTATTTAGCATTAGAATATAATAGTTTCCAGTAGTTATACTTTTAAATATTTTTCTAATGAAAATATTAGCTTATAAAATCTGAAAAAATTTTCCATTATTTAAAATCTTCATAATTATAAATTTTGAATAAAAAGTTACAACTTATAATTTTTAATATCATAATATATTTACAATTACTATAAAGAATAAAAATTATTTTAATATATATTCTTTTGTATATCTTATGTCTTTCTTTTATAATTTATGTATTAACTTAATGTATTTATTAGATATATAGATACTTTACATTATATTTAATTGTATTATATTATACATAAATTTTTATTATTATATATTATTCAATTATTATTAAAAATATAATCATTACTTTTTGTCATTGTTCACGATTTTATAATTTAAATAATGGTACATGTAAACAAAATACATTTTTTTATACATTAATCATAGATAATAAAAACAATAGAGAGTATAGTTCTAAATCTACTTAAAACGTGATGATTTAAAATAAAAAATTATTAGACAATATATCATTAAATAACAAATATTTGATAATATTTGATAATATATTTAAATATACACATAATAGTATATAATGAGATATATATGTATTAAAATAAATTTTTTATTTTTACATTATTATATAATTTGAAATACGCCTTAATATATAATGCAACGTAATTTAATCTATAGTTTAAAAAAATATGATATGTATTTTTTATATATTTGTTAATCTTTAAAATAAAGTAAATATAAAGAATAAAATTTTATTATGCATGAATATAATGAAGAAGAACAATTCAATGAAGCTGATGAAACTGAGACAAAGTATATACATATATATAATTTATGTATACGTATATGTTTTATAAAATATATATATATATATATTTATTATATAATTAATTATATTTTGTTTAATGATTTATGCAAATTCTAATTCTATGATATTACTTACAGATTAAAAATGTGTGAAGAACAATCATTATTTCATTGTGAACTATCTAAAAATATTCATAAATTATATATTTCAAATAATGAAAAAGAGGATGATGACAATGATAATTTAGATAATGACGATTTTAGTTGGAATGAAGATCTTGTTCAAAATGGAACTGCTTCAAAAAATATTATCAAAAATATTCAAACTCAAAATATTAATGCACAAAATATATCTGATAAAATTACTAATTATCAACCATTAGATAAATTATTTCGTCGTTATGCTAATAAAATTAATATTGAAAAATATGAAGGTCCTATTTTACCAGGACATGCAGCAAATCTTCTTATTGAAAATGATAAGCGTGTGGAAAAAGATAGGTTTAGAACAAAAGACAAACATGATCGTGCAACTGTTGAACAAGTTTTAGATCCTCGTACAAGAATGATACTATTTAAACTTTTAAATCAGGGTATAATTGCAGAAATTAATGGCTGTATTTCAACTGGAAAAGAAGCTAATGTTTATCATGCAATATCAAAAACAGGAATAGAATTTGCAATAAAAATATATAAAACATCAATTTTACATTTTAAGGATAGAGATAAATATGTCACTGGAGAATTTCGTTTTCGTCATGGATATTGTCGTCATAATCCACGAAAGATGGTACGAACATGGGCAGAGAAGAATTTAGAAATTTAATACGTCTTCAACAAGGAGATGTAAATGCTCCAAAACCAATTTTACTACGTAGTCATGTACTATTAATGGATTTCATAGGTACTAATGGTTGGCCATCATCAAAATTAAAAGATGTTGTTTTAACTGCTTCTAAACTAAGAAAATTATATAGAGAATGTATTGAAATAATGTGGAAACTATATAATAAATGTAAACTTGTTCATGCTGATTTAAGTGAATATAATATGTTATATCATGATGGATCTATTATAATAATAGATGTATCACAAGCAGTTGAACATGATCATCCTATGGCACTTGAATTTCTTAGAAAAGATTGTACAAATATAACTGGTAATTAATGATAAAAATTTTTTATGATAATATTATTAGATGCTTCAAAGATCTTAAAATTAATAAACAATATAATTCAATTTTTTTATAGAATTTTTTAAGAAAAATGAAGTAGCTGTGATGACTGTGAAGACATTATTTAATTTTATAACAGATCCAACAATAACTGAAGAGAATATGGATAAGTGTTTAGATATAATATCAGAACAAATAACACAGCAAAGTGATCAATGTATTGATCCTGAACAACAAATAGAAGAACAAGTATTTAAACAAATTTATATTCCACAAAATTTAAGTCAGGTAATGTAAAAGTATACATATAAGTATATAAATCACTATTTAATTATCTATAGATATCTAATAGATATCTAATTATATTATATATATTATATATACAATATATTTTATATATATATATATATATATATATATATTATGTCAAGTTTAAAGTTTTGATTATTTACTCAAATCAACGGATATTGAGAGACTTATTCAATTTAAAATGCTTCTTGAAATATTATATCTAAGTATTAATAATTCAAAAATTTGAATTATTAATAATTATAATTCAAATTTAATTTTAAAATTTAAATCTTTAGATATTTTTATTCTAATAAGAGTTGCATATTCAAGTTATAATAAATATTAAATAAGTATCTGAATATTCAAGAGTATAATAAGAATTCTAATCAAATTTCATAAGTATAATTTTAATAAAATGTTTAGGTGATTGATATTGAGCGTGATATTAAACTTGCAAAAACTGGAAAAGGAGATTTGATATATAAAACTCTTGTTGGTTTAAAGTCAGATTTATCTGAACCTATTGATACTCCTGAAATTCTTAATGAAAGATCTAAAAAATTAAATAATATAGAAGAAAAAGATAATTTATCTGAAAAAAGTAGTAATTCTGAAGATAGTGAAAAAAATATACAAAATGAATCAAAGTTTGTTAATTCAGCTCGACCTCGATATGAAAGTCCAGATAGTAAAAAGGTAAGATAATATAATCGTTTATATAATATACTTATATGTGATATTATATGTGAAATATATATTTAAATATATTTTTAATTATAGGCACGAAAAAAAGCAGTAAAAGAACAACAGGCTGAAAAAAGAAAAACTAAAATAAAAAAGCATATTAAAAAAAGAAAAGAAAAAGTATTAAAAAAGAAATAATTTAAATATTATTAGAAAATATTTTCAAAAATTTGAAATTGAATAATAAAATATATTATTAATTAATTTGATGTTTTGTATTTTAATTATAAAAAATTAAAAAAATAGAAATATGTTTATCTTACAGTTGCTAATAAAATTAAGAATATTCTATTCTTTGTATTTTATTATATATTAAATAAAATATATATATAATATAAATAATTTAAAAAATTTAAGTTTTAATTTTTTTTCTTTGTTTTCAAGAATTTATCTTCAATATTTATCTTATTTATAATTATAATAGAATTTTTTATATTTATAAACGATTTATATTAAATGATTAATTAATTTTAATTAATAATTAAATTTATATCACAGACAAAATCAAATATGAAATAAACTATTTAAAATAATTATATAATATTTATAATTAAAATCTGATTAATATAGCGGCTTAAAAGATAAGTACATTAAATTTTATATAATTTCCATATCTATATATATTATATTATCCTAATACAAAATCATATTTGGTCGAAAATTTTTACAGAAATTCAGTCGAAAATGTCAATTTTTCTTATCGATAATATCGCATGTGACTCAAAAATGGTAACAATGGTTCGGAAGCACTCGAAATATGTAACAAAAATGCACGGAATTATAGATCAATTTTATATTTAGTCTGTATTTATACCATTAAAAAAATAAAACCTTCTAAGAAATGCTTTTGAAATAAAAAAAGGATAATGGAAAACTATTTTGGTATTAAAATTTTATTATTTTTTACATTATAATATTAATAAAATGTGTTATTCATTTTGGTTTATCCTATCAGTTAATGCTAAAATAATAAAGGAATATGAACAATTTCTTACAACTGGTTGTTTGAAATTCGATACATTACTTCAAGGTGGTATAACTAATCGTGGGATTACACAAATTTATGGAGCTGCAAGTACAGGAAAAACACAATTAGCTTTACAATTATGTCTAACAGTTCAATTACCTAAAACAGATGGTGGTCTTGCTGCTGGTATTTTACAAATTGAATTTATAAGATTATAAGCATTTTATATTTTTTTAATATATATTTTTTCTTCAAACATATTTAATAATTAATATAGGTGCAATATATATTTGTACTGAATCTATATTTCCATCAAGAAGATTACAAGAATTGATACAAAAATTGGAAATTACCAAAAAACATGGAATAAATGGTGACTTAGTATTTGTAGAACATATTTCTACTATTGTAAGTATTATTATTTTTATTAATTTATATATTATTATTAAATTAATTTAATTGTTAATATTATATTTAGTTTTTTATTTTTATAGGAGGAATTGGAGATATGTTTGCTTCATAGAATTCCAACATTAATATCTGTGCAAAAGATAGGATTAATAGTTATAGATTCAATTGCTGCTCCATATAGAGTAGAAGATTGGAAAGATAAATCTAATAATAGAGCAAAAAGTTTAAGAATAATTGGACAACAATTACACAAGTTATGTAAAAATAATATTTGTGTTGTTTGTATCAATCAGGTAAAAAAAATATGATTATGTAATAATTAATTAATAAGTAATTATATAATTGCACAAATATTTTACAAAGAATATATATATGTAGGTAACAACAGATGTATATAGTAATGTACTTAATGATAATTTAAATGTACGACCAACATTAGGAACAACATGGTCAAGTATGATAACTACTTCTATACAATTTTATAGAATAGATTCTTTAAGATATGCCTGCATTAAATTATCATCAAATTTACCAGAACTAATTATTTCATTTGAAATACAAGGATGTGGGATTAAAGCATTAGATTGAATAAAATAAGTTGAAGTAAATTTTTAATGTTGTATTTAATTGCATAAGTTTGGAAATATCAGAAAATACATTTTCATCTAATATTCTAGCAATATATGTTGGAGACCATTGATTTCTTGGATCAGAAGCTACAAATGGATCCATACTTCTTATATCTAAATTTTCAATATCATTATTTAATATCAACCTTTAAAAAATTATAAAATAAAATATTTTAAAATATAAATAAACATATATTTTTTTTATATCTTTTTCTATATATATAAAATACCTGAAGGAATGTAAAAATGTTCTATAAGGTTCTATATCTTTTCGTTCACTATATGTATAATCACCAATTACAGTATGACCAATATATGAACAATGTACTCTTAGTTGATGTCTTCTACCTGTATTAGGACATAATAATACTTTAGTAGCTGGCTTTCCATTTCTAAAACCTCTTTCTAATACCATAAGAATTGTATAAGATTTTTTCGGTTTTTCACAAAATATGCTATCACTAATACACATTTTATGATTTCCTTTCTTTTCTCTAATATCAATTCCTAAAAAAATAATGTTATTGTCAATAAATAAATAAATAGATATTATATGATATTATCGATTTGATTACCAATTGCTTTATTTATAATAAGATAAGGTTCATTAATATGTCCATGAAGTAATGCTAAATAAAATTTTTTAGCTGTTCTTGCTTCAAATGCATTAGAAGCAATTTGAGCTGCTTTTTTATTTAATGCAATACATATTACACCACTTGTCACATAATCTAATCTATGTACAAAATGAAATTCATGAAATAATTTTGGATTTACTAATTTTGGTACAATTTTTTTTAATTCAAATTGCAGTGTATCCTAAAAATTTTTAAAATTAATAAATATTATTTTTAATTTAAAAACATTTTTATCATACTTTTTTTTCATGATTATTACTATTAATATACATATCATATGGTTTAGAAACTACCAAAAAATTTTTACTATGATATAATATATCTACATCATTTTTGTATTTAATTTGAATAAAATATTTTACATATAATTTTAAAAATATTTTTTTTATATATAACATTTGTATTAATTTAGAAATGAAGGTAGTGCAATTGTACAATATTTTATTTATATCCATTTTGTATACTATTATAATTTTCGTTTTTGTTATAAAATTATAACATCATTGCTTCTGTGTTTTATAAAAGCAAACAAAATATATATAAATTATAAACAAAGCATATTATATATTCTTTGAAAATCGTTATGTATTAACCGAAGAAATAAACATTGTCTACTATATTTTGTATAATTTTACACAATTTTCCACTTTTATATTGGCTGTCTGTTTTCTATTTTAAATTTTGTTAATAACTTCATATTGATTGCGATAAGTGATGTAATAATAATTTTTAATAAATAATAATTTTAAATAAATTTATCAAATTTAAAATATTTTATTTAATTTTTGAAAAGAATTTTAATAATTATGATATTTTAAATATTTATTGTGAAAAATATATTTTAAACAATTTAAAAACATATCAGAGGGCAGCACTTACTTGGGTTTTCAGATTTGGATGCAGACCGTTTGAAAGCAATTTGTACTATGGGAGAAAGTTTTATCGTGGAGTTCGTTATAAATAACGGTATTTCTAATTTCATTTTAATTGAATACTGTTTATTAATTGTTTTAGTGATTATTAAAAAACGTTTTGTATTACCTTCTAAAAATGTTTCGATCGAAAAAAGATGTTGATCGACATGTAAAAGATATTTTTATTAAACTTAAAAGTTCAGAGGAGGTAAGGTTATTTTTCAAGAAAAAAATCCATATTATTAAACATTATCTAAATAATCTTTGTTAATTTTTTATATTATATATAATAATTTTTTAAAATTATAATTTTGATTTTAAATGAATTTTATATGCATATTAATTTTTTATTTTTTTAAATTTGTATTTAATGTCAAGTGTATAGTATTAAAGACCTTGACTTGATTGTGAAAAGAATAAATATATGCATATGCATTAACCTCTATAATAATTCAGCTGCTTTTTAAGAATATTTTAAAAACGAAATAGAAAAAAAATTATTATTATTTTGCAGAACAAATTTTTATTTTATATTCCTTTAAAAAATATTATTTTTCCAAATAATTAAATATTTTATTAATAGTTAATGTTTATTTATACTAACATCTATCTTCATTTATTTTTGTTTTTATATTTATGATTAAATTAATTAATATAAAAATTTAATGTATTATTAATTTTATATATATCTGAGATTTCTATTTTAATTTCAAGAAAAAACTTCGATGTTATAATATTGCAAAATTATATTATCAAGTTGGAGACAATGAATCTGCAAAGAAGTATGTCTCTAATTATTTAGAAATAAGAGATAAATCTGCGGGGGCTCATAAATTATTAGGACAAGCTCTTGAAGGTTTGGGACAAAAGGAAGCAGCCTTTACACAATATAAAATATCTCTTGAATTAGAACCAAAGCAAGATGATCTTCTTTTAAAGGGTATAATTTATTTTAAATATTTTATATTTATTTTATTTTATATTTTATTTAAATAATATTTTTTAGTATGTGAGCTATTATCAAATATGGATATCAATATAGCAAATGATAAAATAAAACATTTAGTAGAAAGAGCTGATAAAAAATTTCCACATCATCCAATAGTTTTTGAGTTAAAGGAAAAATTAATAACTTTAGAAAAACCAAATAGTAATGATGATGATTTAGAAAAACTTATCATATGTATGTAATACATTTTTCATTTTAGATTTATATTATTTCATATAATTTGATAAAGTTTATTTGTTTCAACAAAATTATTTTTAGCTGAATTATCAGTAAGACAAACAGATGTGAACTTACAAGTTAAGTTGCTCAAGCACTATATAGGAAATCATAGACTTGAAGATGCATATAATAAAGCTGCTGGAATAGAAGCAACACATAGTCATAGAAATAATATCATTTGGTATCAATCATTAAGCGAATTACTTATGAAATGTAAAGAAAATAAACAATCAGATTGGACATTTTGGATATTTTATATTTCGGTGTTAGAAAGATATGCAGCACTTTGCCTTAAAGAACAGGGTAACATTATTAAAAAAAGTATAACTGATGTTACACAAGCAGTATTTAAGTAAGTATGTATGT